ATTTTTGACCCTAAAAACACAAAATTTCACAACTTCTTTTTAATCCATTTTGTAGAGCTTAAAAAAACAAATAATTTAGTATATTGAAGCGTTATTATGCGCCTAATTGTTACGGAGAAAATTCAAAAAAATTGTAATTTTAAAATTCCCATGTTATTCTTACGGAGGATAAGTCAACTGTTGTTGTTTGCTTGTTTATGAATATATTTTGATCAAATTTGGAAAATACATTAATTTCTTTCTAAACCAAAGTACCTTTTAACATTTTACATAAAAAAAAACTTTTTACCCTCCCTGTTGCAGCAAACCTAAGTACTCATTAAACTAATTCTGTTTAAATTGGGAATAAATGTGATATTTTTAAGGAGACATTTTAGTTTAAATCCAATCAGGCAAATGGAAATTCGCTAAGTTTGCAGGTTTGCTGCGGCGGGGGTATTTCTACAATTTAAAATCCTGGCCTAGAGCCTTTCCTTAAACAGAACTGTTTCAAAATGTGGGTGTACAAACCATACAAAATTAATAAACAAGATATTAAAATTAGGTAGACTCACCCGGTCACTCCGAGGTCACAGGTTAGAATCCAGCCTGAGGCTCCGTAGGGAGTTGGTGTCAGTGCAAAGGCATGTGATATCGCCATCCTCAAGATAGGCTCCTAGCTGCCAGGAAACCCAAGAAAAGCTCCAGAGTGGCAAGCCTATGCCTTTATAATATGGAATATCTGATATTATAATATGCCCTTGTGCACTGCCAGTAAACACCTGTTTTGCTTTATAAGAACATCAAAACAAAGTCACTTTAGGTGATTTTAGTTTTTCTTGTCTCCTGAAAAGTACAGGTTTTTACGTACAACTTTTTGCATGAACATCAACGAACAACAACAAAGTTTCAGTGTACTGTTCTTAATGAGCATTTATAGAAAATCCATTGTTTAAATTACTAGTTTCAGACCAAATAGCCAAATATCTAGATGGAGTATTCACTCACCCAATATGGGCTGCTTGTTCTCTAACAGCTCATAGTAGCTGCTAGTATACTAGCAGGTTCTGGAAACGCCCCGTGGAAACTAGACGATCACACATCCTCATCAGGAGACTAGAGAACTCTCCGGGGTCATTGCTGTATCTCCTCCAACCACCAACACCGTCCATCACACCTGAAACAGACCCCAAGTTAGTGTACGCCTAGGAGGAATAAACATTAAGGAGAGGCACGAAAATAGGAATACACATAATGCGGTGAAGACAGCTTTAGCAGAACACTAGAGAGGCACGGGGAGCCGTAGAGTGGCAAAAAGCTTCGGCTATAACATGGGAGAGATAGGGAAAAACGTGACGCGCGCTGTTTCGATTTAAAATTGCCGCTAAACTAAAACACCTGTGTTATTCATAGATGGCATTCTTAAAGTAAATTAAATTTCCTATCAAACGGTGTCAATCATTCCTATAGAAACTATTTTTTATTATTTATTATTGAAGATCAAAGTTGTAAGAATTGGCCTGGAATTTGAACATGATTACTTGAATTACGTTTTTGAAAAAAATATGATGTATCTACTACACAAATTAACAATTTGTTCGTGTTCCTTAAGAATTTCTCGATATAAAAAAAATATATTTACCTATATTTAAAATTGGTATTTAGAAAAATAATTACAATAAAGTTTATTTTTATTTTTCCAGCTTATAAAACTATCTTACTAATTATAGGTTAAAATGAAAATTTTAATTCGGGTGGTGAAATACATTTTAAATTGGCATTTTCATAGTTTTTGCTATTTGTTAATATCATTTTTTACTAGTTTTAAGGCATTTATGTGCTAGGCAGGTGATTTTAAATATCCAAAGTTCAGAAAAAAATGCAAAGCCACTCTAACTTTTTTTACACCAACAGCCGTTACAATTAAATTACAAACATAAAAAGTAAAACAATTTCTTGGCAATCAAATTCTTGATTTTAGCGAATTTCCCTATAGGGAAATAGCTATTACCATAGTACCGTACTCATGGTAAGACCTAGACCCGGGACCGATTTAATTTTTCATTTTGAGGTCCCTAGAAGCCAAAAACACCATCCGTTCAAATTCATACTAGCAGAGTACCCATCCTTCGTACGGGGTTGGCATATAAGTTATACTTATTATTACATATAAGTTACAGCATGTTATGCTTATTACAGTTATACTCTAACTTAGCGTTTGCAATGTGGGAGAACACAGTTTGATAAAATTTGCTTCTTTGAATTCACGGTATACTATAGTATTACACATCTACCATAGCCATAATGTTCTACCATTAAACAATAGAGAAAAATAAATTATTAAAAATTTGCAAAATATCACAAATTATTCATGTAGAACATAAATATAACTGTAAACAATCCTACTTTGACAGTTCTCATTGCCTATAACATTTTTTTGTTACTGCTTAGTTCAAATTAGCTGTTTTCATATATAAATGCAAAAAATAAAATAGTGCACCCTGTTGGTAAATCTTATAACTTTTTAATACTTTTGCATATCATACACGATTACTAGAAAAATACCGGTATGGATCATAAACATAAACAAATGACGTTGATGGCCCGAATCCTATACTAATAGCATTGAACATATGTTTTGGCAGTTCCATTTAAGCAATGTTAAATAATGTTTATTTTCGGGCCAAAAACGTCATTTGTTTATGTTTATGATCCATACCGGTATTTTTCTAGTAATCGTGATATCATAGAGCCAACTTTTTTAGTTGAAACAGCTGACTAAATTCTTTAATTCCCTTTAAATATGAATACTCATAAGGTTAACATGGAGAATTACAGAGCTACTGGGGCGGAGCCCAAAAGCATTGAGATAAGAATATGTCTATATTTTAATCGGGAATATGAGTTATAATCATGCCAAATTTCAGCCCAATCCGTCCAGTAGTTTATGTGTGATAGAACTTCAAACAAACAAACAAACACACAAACTTTCACATTTATAATATTAGTAAGATATATATATGTGTGTGTGTGTCCGTTAGCGCGATAACTCGAGCAAAAATGTTCCGATTTTGATGAAATTTGGTACAAACGTGTAAACCTACATTTATTCTAACGAATTTGCGATCCAGAATAATCGGATCATGGGAACAGGGGTTTATGGGGGGTTTTATGGGGTAAAAATGGGGTTTTCCCATTTTTGACCCTAAAAACAAATAATCTTGCAATTTCTTTTTAAACTGTTTTGTAGAGCTTAACAAAATAAATAATTTAGCATATTGAAGTGCTGTTGCATGCCTAACGGTCACGGAGAAAATTCAAAATAAGTGTGATGTAAAATTCCCGATGTTATTCTTATGGAGAAAATGAAAATTGTTGTAGTTTACTTAATTATTTGATAAAATTTGGCAAATTTATTTATTTCATCCCATACTATTGACGTATGGTCAAAAAACATTTTTTACCTTCCCCGTAGCAACAAACCTAAGCACTCTTTAATTCTAATGCTATTTAAATAGGGAATAAATATGTCTTATGTATGGAAATATGTTAGTACTTAAAAATGTAATCATAGTCAAGTTGAAATTCACTTAGTCTGCAGGTTTGCTGTGGCGGGGGTATTTTAATATCATATTGAACTATATTCGATCTGTTTGCCCAATGAAACTTCGAATAAAAATTGTAAATGTCCAACAATCATCACGTCTTCTGACTACCAAAGAGCGTTTATCTTTCTTTTAAAGGATTAAAACTTATTTTATTTCTCTTTAAGAAAATGTTCAAATACACATACAGTACTACTCATGATTTGAGTTTTAATTTATGAACAGTAAAATCCATTGGTGATATGGCGGGATTTGAACCCGGGACCCCAGGAACCGGAGTCCCACGCACTTTTTTAGAGTATTATAAATAATACACAATATAACTATGGCAAAAAATAAAAACAAGTACAACTAATTCTAAAAAACTAAGTCATCCTTGTTAAATTACCCACCTTTGAACGTACTATTGGTTCATAAATATGACTTTCCTCTTAATAGGTTCCTAATATTACGGCTAGAATTTAACTTTTTAATTTTTGTAGCATAATGAAGTCTAACTTTTAAATAGCCTAGTTAATTGATATTTCTGTTACCAAATATTAAAGTAATGCATAAAACGCAGTATGAGAGGGGGCGAGAGAGTAGCGCTGCCTCCCCCCCTCACCATTACGCTGGCTTCAACGAAACTACAGCAAGTCCTCTCCTTAATGTTTAATCCTCCTAGGTGTACGCCTACTTACCAGGAGGATAAAACACTAAAATCGTTTATAAGTTATGATTTGTTTTGACGTTCTAAAAAAGCTTAAGTCTTAGTACCTTTTGTCAGTGGTTGTAATGGTTCCAGGCCTGTCCGCTGCACTGCAGCAGCACAGCACTTAACACAGTTCACGAGTTCGAATCCCGCCATGATTCTCCTAGGGAGTAGGTGTCAGTGCACAGGCATATGATATTGGCATCCTCCGGATAGGCTCTGGGCACTTAACACGTTCGCTGTGAGAATCCCTTTGGCAGTACCGGAACGGTCGGAAATGCGAAGCAGCCTCGGCGCGCCAGTGAATCAGGGGGCGCGCCTGAGGTCCTAGGGAGTTGGTGTTGGTGCACAGTCATCCTCGGAATAGGCTCTGGGCACTTAAGCTGCCAAGAATCCCAAGAAAGGCTTAGGTGAGGCGACCCTATGCCTTTTTAATAGGTAAGGTCAGGTATTATAATATGTTATTTTGAACTGCCACTAAACACCCGTTTTGCTTTTTTAGAACGTCAAAACAAAGCCAAGCCTGTAGGCAATTTTAGTTTTTGTTTTGTCTCCTAAAAAGTACAGTTTTTTTAGTACAACTTTTTGCATGAACGTCAACAAAATGACAAGAAAGTTTCCAGTTTACTGTTCTTAATGAGCATAAAGTATATCCATTGTCTAATTACTAGTTTCAGACCAAAATAGCCAAATAGATCAAATATTCACTCACCCAATAACGGGGCTGCTTTTTCTCTAAAGGCTCGTAGTAGTATACAAAAGAGTAGACAAGCAGGTACTGTGGTGCTTACTGTCCAAGAAGCATATAATCGAGGTATACTATGCACTCTTTCACACCCACATTGTGTATGGCCTCTTCTTGTGGGGGCATTCCTCTGGATGTCAGAACATTCTCCTCCTGCAGAAAAAAACTGTAAGGCTGATCGATTCTGCTGAGTACCTAGAACATAGTAGGCCTATTATCAGCAAACTGGATATACTGACTATACTGACTATTTATAGTCAGTATATCGTGCTCAGTTTGACCTACATTAAAGAGAACAGCTTCTCCCTTACAAAACGAGCAGAACAACACTCCTACAACACCAAAGGTAAAGACCAACACGATGTGCCATTCTGTAGGCTAAGTAATAAGAAAAACTGTTTCCCAAAACTAGCAATGAAACTATAGGGCCTATAATGCATTGCCAGCTAGTACCAAGGATCTTGATCCTCGCAAGTTTAAGCGAACAATTGAAAAATGGCTGAAAAAAACACCTCTCTTCTCTATTGAAAAATTTTTTTAAGAGGTCAAAAAACTATAAATCCTGCCGCTAATCTGTAAATATTCAAACAGTAAATTCAAGTTTTAGTTTTTATTTTTCTTTGTGACGATGGACTGCATAAATCTAATTATTAGTTCAGTTAGTATCGACTCAATCTATCCAGCAACTGCTGGTCAAAGATGAAGAAAAGATACTTCTTTTCTTCATACTTACTTCATTACTTACTTCATACTTGAAGTAAGTAAGTATGAAGTATGAAACGCCATGTGGACTCTAGACAATCATAAGTCCTCATCAGGAAACTAGAGAACTTTCCAAGGTCGATGTCATATCTCCTCCAACCAACACCGTCCACCACACCTGAAACATGACACAAGTTGGTTAGTATCATCTTTGACTATTGATAGTACAGTAGAGTCTCGCAAACTCGGTGTAATGTGGATTGGAAGGGTGCCGAGTTTGTGAAATGCCAGGTTATCGGGAACTAGGGTTAAAAATAAAAACAATAACATTTTTAAGCCTTTTACCTGCCTTCTTTATTTATATTCATAATACAAGTCAGTATTAAGTCATCAGATATAGTACAACAAATCCTTTTTACGAGTTACAAATGATTTGACTTGAGCTGGCTTGAGTCCATGTTGAACTCGGACTAAAAAAATCAATAATTTTCTGAGCTAGGTGATGGCCGAGTTATCCAGACTGCCGGGTTATCGAGTGCCGAGTTTGCGGGACTCTACTGTACTAGACACAAATGTTAGGTAATGTTGTTAAGTTTTAAAAAATAAAAATGATCGTTGTTGAATGGAACCAACGACAGTGTGTCAATAACTGATTTCTGTGGTACCATGGGTACCTATACATTCACTAACTTACCTATCCTCTTAACAATCTAATATCTTACAAAAATTTAGAGGAACTTTTAAATCGCATTAATGATTAAAACATCAAAAACATTAAAGGGAAAATATCGTTTTACCAGTAGTGCACTCTGTAAAAGACTCATTCAACTATTTTCATCCAATAAAATAACACTGTTAACTAACACAAGAGATGTCTTATTTATTTCATTTCCGTATTTAAAGCCAATTGTATCATGTAAACGGTGATTTGATACATGTTACTGTATGTTGGTATGAACAGTCTAGAACCTATTTTAATTTAAGTTAAATACCATACTCGCTCAAATGCAAGAAGGGTAGCAACGTAAATTATGGCTTTTGTCACTAGGCCTACAAAAAATACTCAGTTAGGTATTAGGCTACCGATAAGAGGGTCAGCCATTTGTATAATCATCTGGACCGTGACGGCTACAAAAATGAAGTTTGATAGGTAAATAGGGAACATTAACTGGTTTTGTTTCCAGTACCTAGATACTAGGTATAAATTAACGGATCATTACAATAGGACAATTCTTCAAAGCCCTCCTTATAAAAATAGGTACCCATCATAATTTAAAAAGCACTGTTACTCTAGTTTTAGATAGGCCTAAATAAGTTAAGGAATGACCAAAAATATTTAGCCATTACCATTACCAACTCCTATGTCGTTGCCCAACACTTGTTGGATAGACTGCGTCAAATAAAATTACAGTAATAAAACTAATAAAAAAAATAACAATTCTTATTTAACCAATATTTAAATAGAAAACTAGTGATGGCGGTGCATATTATATATTCGAGAAGTACCGTACTCGCCAGACACTTCCTCAAAAGAGTACAGCGGCTCATTTGTGAGTTTGAGAGAGATTTAGAGATGATGATAAAAAATTTAAAACAGAGCCATACACCTACCGATATAAAATATAGGCCTATAGCCTAAACATGAGAGTAGGCAAGCTTATATTAAGACATAAGACATTTTAAGTAGCCTAAGTAACTACAAAATACAATAGGTCTTGTCAATTTTAAAATAGGCCTACATAATTTGGCTACATAAAATAAGAAATTATATGGCGAGTCAGGTACAGTGTGGTAAAAATGGTACCAACTACAACAAAAAGATTCAGTCTATCACAGTCTCTAATCTAATCAAATTGTCTATTGGAATTGGATACCGTACTAGCATATACTAGGAAGGACAAATCGGGGAAATAACTCCAGAGAAACTGAAAGTACTATATAAGTCAAGTCAATAAGTCATTTATTGGGCCAAATTGACAAAACTTGCATTAGCCAAGTCAGTACAAGAAAAATAAATTTATTACATCTTAATAACAAAAATTCCTTACTGTAAAAAATTCTATAACTAAATAACTAAACATGCGCACATGCCTTTGTGAATGACCACTAAAGTAGAAATTCACGGACGCTGTAAAATGATCTATCTAACAACATGGACTTTAGACCTGTTCTAAACTTTTTTGGATCTTGTTCGGCCTTCAATTGAGGTGGAAGTCTATTAAATAGTTTTACAGAATTGTAATGGAAGTTTCTTTGAAAGAAAGAAGTGGAATGCCGGGGAATTGGTAGATTTAAAGTATTGCGCCATAGATACCTGGAATTTTTAGCAGATGAAAAAAAAGGAAGTATTTTTGCTATGGAAAGATAGAGTTTCGAGGATGTAAATAGATGGGAAAGTTAAAATTTTAAATTCTCTGAAATAATCTCTGCATGATTGTTGTTTGGAAATAGAAAACACAATTCGAATAGCCCTTCTCTGAAGCCTAAACAAGAACCTAGTCCTCTCTATGAACTAACTCTAAGAACTATGATTAATGTATTCAAATCAAATCAAATCATTTTATTGAGCTAAAATTGACAATACACATTACATGGTATTGTCATGGTAAGTCATGGTACAAACGTACAGTATGAAAATTATAGTATTAACCAATAGTAATTAAGTAATTCGTATATCGCCAGACACTAGATTTTACCTTAAAATAATGGTGCAAATGTTTCTCTGCAGAGAAAAATTCTAGATAAACTACACTCGTTAGAATTTCGTTGTAATTCTTTTCTGCTTATCTATCTGTCGTCTGTCACCAACTAAATATCTAAACAATGATAATACAGAATCGAATGGATGTGGATGGATGGTGTAGGAGGAGAAGAAGAAGAAACCAGACAAACTCTTAATATGCAAAGACTACAAAGCGATAAAACGATTTTCACAACAGAGCGTTGATTATTGTAAACTAATAAACTATTTTCTAGCCATGCCAGGAAGTTTGGTCGGGTTTTATGACGGCCACCTTTAACTATAGGCCACGGCCTCATAACTCATTTATTGAACCAAAATAACAGATACAAAATTTGCATTGGTCATGTCAAATAATAGAACTGGTAGAAATCAATAGATTAAAACACTCTTTTCATAAAAAAAAACTGAAACAATACTTAATCAACAAACCTTACTATAGTCTAAATGAATATTTCGAAGACCACACACCCTACAACAGGACATAACAGTATCCAAAGAATAAATGAAAAAGAAAAAACAAGAATTTTGACGATTCCCTGGTCTCACAACTATGGACCTAGGTAAAAGGTAAAAGAATTGGCAACGTTGCAAGTGGTGTTGTTCAGTAACAGACGTCCCATAAGATAACATGGCAGACAGGTGACATCAGCTCATTAACTCGCAACTTTATTTATTTAAATTTATAAAAATATTGAAAATGAAACATACAGAATTGAAAACCGAAACAATATGAATTAAAATCTATATCTGTACATTTTTAAGTGGAGTCAATATTGTCATAGTCCAGTAACCAATATTTCGTAAATACACAAATACCATTTTAGCTACTTCCAAACAAAAACAGCTGTTACAACACCCCTTGCGACGTTGCCGGTTCGAAGGCCGCGGCCTGGAGTTAAAGGCGGCCGTGGCTGGAGCTGACCAACTGCAAAACCACCTTGGTGGCCATGCCAAACTGACGACAGTCAATCTAAAATCGATCCAATCCAATCCATTATCAAGCCAGATGCCAGATCAAAAATCGCGAGTACGCGAGACGCGAACGCGAACCGCGAACGTCCAAACTAACCTACCTACCTAACCAAAGTTGCTTGCGTTGCGTTGCATTTCTCAAGTCAAACCGCTTTGGTATTCATTCTCTTTTAATTTCATCATAAAGCTGCCGTTGCATTTAGTGCACCACGCATCCTCCGAATTATAATATAGGGTACCTCACCTAACTGTCTGCCGAGTGCCGGTATTTTGTGTAGTCGAATTCGAACCCGGCACGGCATAAACAACTACAACCTAGGCCTACTTTGACGTACTACAACTAGGTAATTTATTATGATAGGCTATTATTGTAGACCCTAGATCGAAGAAGAATTTTTCCTTTCTGTTAGCCTAGGTTTGAAGAATCTTTACAATTTATAAGTTAGTAGATCTGGTAACTTGGTGACAGGCATAACTTTAACATTATTTACCAACATAAGTTAACCTGTTTGAACCCTAGTAAAGTATTCGATAGCCTATTCTTTGTTCTATCATAAACTGGCTCACTTGTAGAGTAAAGAAATGTAACTTAAATTTGCCTACAACACTATTTAACCTTATGATGTGTGTTCTAAATGAGACACAGCTAGAGAATCTGAACATAGGCCTAGTCTAAGTTAGGCTTAGTTAGCATCTAGGAGGATTAAACATAAAGGAGAGGGCACGCGAATAGGAATACACGTGTTGCGGTGAAGCCAGCTTTAGCAGAACACTAGAGGGGCACGCGGAGCCGTAGAGTGGCAAAAAGCCTCGGCTATAACATGGGAGAGATAGGGAAAAACGCGACGCGCGCTGTTTCGAATTAAAATTGCCGCTAAACTAAAACACCTGTGTTATTCAGCGATGGCATTCTTAAAGTAAATTAAATTTCCTATCGAACGGTGTCAATCATTCCTATAAAAACTATAATTTATTATTTATTATTGAAGATCAAAGTTGAAAGAATTGACCTGGACTTTAAACATATGATTACTATAATTACGTTTTCGAAAAAAATATGATGTATCTACACAAATTAACAATTTATTCGTGTTCCTTAAGAGTTTCTCGAAATAAAAAATATATACTTACCTATATTTAAAAGTGGTATTTAGAAAAATAATTACAATAAAGTTTTATTTTTATTTTTCCAGTTTATAAAACAATCTTACTAATAATAGGTTAAAATGAAAATTTTAATTCGGGTGGTGAAATACATTTTAAATTTGCATTTTTCATAGTTTTCTCGATTTGTTAATATCATATTTTACTAGTTTTAAGTCATTTATGTGCTAGGCAGGTGATTTTAAATAGCCAAAGTTAAGAAAAAATGCAAAGCCGCTCTAACTTTTCTTACACCAACAGCCGTTACAATTAAATTACAATCATAAAAAGTAAAACAATTTCTTGGCAATCAAATTCTTGATTTTTTAATATCATATTGAACTATATTTGATCTGTTTGCCCAAAGAAACTTCGAGTAAAAAGGGTAAATGTTCAACAATCATCGCGTCTTCTGACGCCAAAGTGCGTTTATCATTCTTTTAAAGGATTAAAACTTATTTTATTTCTCTTTAAGAAAATTTTCAAATACACATACAGTACTACTCATGATTTGAGTTTTAATTTATGAACAGTGAAATCCATTGGTGATATGGCGGGATTTGAACCCGGGCCCCATGAACCGGAGTCCCGCGCTCTGGTTAGAGTATTATAAAATAATACACAATACAAGTATGGCAACAAATAAAAACAAGGACAAACGAATTCTAAAATACAAGTCGTCCTTGTGTAAATTACCCACCTTTGAACGTACTATTGGTAAATAAATATGACTTTCCTCTTAATAGGTTCCTAATATTACGGTTAGAATTTAACTTTTTAATTTTCGTAGCATGATGAAGTCTAATTTTTAAATAGTCAATTGATATTTCTGTTACCAAATCTTCCAGTAACGCATACAACGCAGTATGAGAGGGGGGCGGGAGAGTAGCGCTGCCTCCCCCCCCCTCCACAGTACGCTGGCTTCAACGAAACTACAGCGTGTCCTCTCCTTAATGTTTAATCCTCCTAGGTTAGCATCTTGCTATGGAACAACAAATTAGTTAGGCTATCAAAATTAAATGCTTTAAGTTAATCGGTAGAGATCTGGTTTGACTAGCTTGCATTTAAAATAGCCTACATGTAGCCAAGTAGGCTAACTTATGCCTCAGCCTATATTTTGCCATAGTTTTTTTACTCTAATTAAGTTAATAGCTTTTTTAACTAGGCCTATTAAAATCCCCGTATCTCAAAACACTTATTTGCTTTGGCTACAGGTTAACCCTAGTGCCCAGTACATCTATGCCATTAAGTTAACTTACTGTGAACGTTCTAGCTGCTTAAACTTAAGTTAGTGTGAGTTAATGTTTGTGATATGGTCTATAGGCTAAATAACTTAGTACCGTACTATCGAAGTCAGGTCAATCGGATAAGGCGGATGAGTCATGGCAGGTCTTTCTTCCTCCGTTTCATTTCTTGGACTAAGAGTGTTTAACTGGCCTGAATTCAAATTCCAACAGAAAAAAATGTCCACAGTCCAAGAAATAAAAGGAATAAAGAATGACCTGCTGATTCTAAAGTGTGACCTGGCCGCAATATTACCCTAGAGCCTGCATGTTTGTAACTTAAATATTTTTGTAAAGAATAAATACACTAGATATAACGTAGTGTTATCGGTAAGAAAATATGACATCTTAAAGAAGACCCCTGAAGATGCCACACAAGCTGGCAAAATGCAAAGTGTGACACAAACTACTTAATAGCATAAAAAAAGTTTTTTTTTGTTACATAATAAGGTTGAGAAAATAACTAGAACCGAATATGTTTTAAACACAGTTTCATTAAATATAATGGAATTTTGTACAAGATTTGTCTTACATTTATTTTATACTATTTTATCTTTAACTAGCTGCTGTGCCCGTGAATGGAAAGATGTAGGCATAACGCCTAATCCAAACACTTGTTAAGTAGTTCGAATTTATAAACAAAAAGCTACCAAATGTATACCAAAGTATAACCTACATTGTAAAAAGACAGAGCTTCTATAGAGACACAATAATTGACACAGAAACATTGAGATGATCGACCAATTGACCTCCTGGACAGTCTGTGACAAAACAACCACACAACAGTCCCATGTGGCTCAATAGTACAGTATTGACCATACTGGACCCTACTGTACTGTAGTTGGAAGCTGTAGGCCTAACAAGTAAATCGTTTACAGTAACCTTTCTCAGTGACAAAATAAATAATGATACTGTGACATGATTGTGCAGTCTACCGGACCGGATATACTGGAACAGGCTTACCGTTGGGAGTTTTAAAAAGTTTAACAATACATATAGCGATTTATCAATTACATAATTATGAACCATTTATTGTCATCTCAACACTAAAACAAATCATCACAACAACATAAACCGTATGCTTTCACAAGACAATAAGGAAAAGACTATTAAACAATTTAATATCATAAAAGGCAAAATAATATAAGCAGATATGCCTACAGAACTATCTGCTGTTTATTTCTGGAATTATTTTTAACTAGCAGAGTACTAGCTTCGTACGGGGTTGGCGTGTAGGCCTAAGTATAAATTGAATGCTTATTGCAGTTATAGGCTACTTGTGCTATGCGTTAAGATGGTGCAATGGGAGTGGATTTGGTTTAAAAAATTTGGTTCTTTTAATTTACTTTATTCTATAGTAGGCTATAGCACATCTACAATAGGTATAATGTTCTACCGTTGAACCTAAACATTAAAAAGTGAAATTCTAATTTTGCACAGCTTTTTGTTGCTAGTTGGTTCAAATTAGATGTTTTCATAAATGCAAAAAAAAATTAGTCTATACTAGTACACAATGTCTACCTAGTCTACCTCTACACCAGGACAGGACCATTTTTGCTTATTGAGTCTGGTGTCTTGTCTTTGGAATGTTTCAATACTTGCTTACTATCCTTTTTCAAACATTTGGACTTTTTTATGACCTAGCTCAGGTATAAAATTTCTTTGGAATGTCTATGGGTTATTTTATACTTCACCTAAATACCAACAAAACATAAAATTGACCTATTGTTTGAAAGCATTATTAATTGTCAAATGACAAATGGAGTCTGGGTCTGGTATTGATGTTGCTTGGAATCGAATTAGCGACCTCAAATTTTAACATGAGCACTATAACCACCTAGAGACAGTTATGATTTATTATAATTTAACATGATTATGATAGTTGGGTTTAACTTAAGATTTAATCGAACTCAGATCAGAATTGAGTGGTAATTTAGTGTTTTATGTTCTAGGAACGAAAAACAACTCTTGACACAATGGAGGAAGAGTTCTCCGTAGAGAAAGTTCTTGATGTAAGAGTGAGGAATGGTAAAACAGAGTACTATCTGAAATGGAAGGGCTATACTGAGTAAGTTCAAGTTTTATTGGCTCGGAACTTGTGAAACAATAAAGTAGATTGATAGAAAACTAATCGATTTTTTCAATTTAGAATTGAATAAAAGTAGAGGTTTGATCAAAGTTTCTGTTTAAATTGTCGGAATATTTTTGTTTATCCGTGTTATGCAGGCCTATTTTTTTGATTTTTCAAATAACTCTTATATGAATAACAACAATGTACCTACCCAGTGCTTCTAAAAAAACTAGACCACTTTAAAATTCAAGTTTTAGTGTTATGCCTAAGTTAAAATTTGGGCAAATAAATCGTTACAATTAAATTTAATGTCCCAAGTTCTTGCTATACAACTAGGCCTATTTAAAAATAAATTGTCAGAAAATACTGATAGATTACATAAAATCTACTTTTGGTATCATTGCTATTTGGTATGAATATCTCTGCTAGGACTAAGGTGCAATTGGACTTAAGTTGTTTTCATCATTTTTTAGTGAAGATAATACGTGGGAGCCAGAGGAAAACTTAGACTGTCCTGAATTAATTCAAGAATTCCTGGATGCGAGGAAAAAGAAAGAATTTGTGGGGCGGAAAGATGATTCAAGCACCCCTAAGATGGCCAAGAAAGAGAAAACTAAAAATGTAAAAGACAAAGAAAACAAGTCTGTAGTTCAGCCAAAAATGAAAATTATCGAGGTAAACCCTCCTATTTCGCTTTTTAGTTCTAGTTTGTTTTGATGAGGTATTTTTATTTCTTGAATTTTTTGGTATAAGTAGTAACCTAGCTGCTTCCTTTTAGTGACTTAAAACGGTTCAATTCATATTAGGTTGAACGGTTGCATATCATCATTTAGATTGGCCTAGGGTACATTGTCTTGTGTTGGTGGAGAGACGTTTCCCGATAGAGATTCAGTGCCTGGTGGGGGAGGTTGTACATCATGTGCACTCATTAGCAGCATCGGCTTCAGCTATCCTATCGGCAAGCCACTTCTTTCCCTTGTTGTTACGATGAAGACCTTGGTGTGAATGCAAATGTCTTTCGGCCTCGCTAGCCTCCACAATAAAGGCATTGCTGTGTTTTTGACATAGTTCTTTCAGGCGTAGGTTGGATCTTTGTACTTCATTATTAACGCATGACCAATTTGGTAAGTCATACCTCATTGGTAAAACTACTAGACACGCATTTTTTTGTTTCACTTTGTCCAAGAAAGTCAATACCCTCAACACATTCATCTGCTTCATTTTTAGCCACATCGTTTGTACCTCAAATGATCACTAGAGCATCTTCTTCTTTGAGATTTTCACCCTCTATATTTTTTAGATTTAAATTTAAAGTCTGACTTGTTCGACCACCCGGTCTAACAAATCCTAGTGTTTCATACTGATTTTGGGATTTTCTTAGGTGCCATGCTAAATCTCTCCCATGGCTCCCAGCGAATACAAGTTTTTTTTTTAGTTGAGGGCAGTTGGCAAATTATAGTATTTACAACATCAACTTCATCTTCAATAGTCTCATCTTCCACGGCAAGTCCTTCAAAGCGATTACGGGTTTCAACATCTTCATGTACAATTGAGTTATTATAAAACTAATTGGTGGTTGAACTACATTTGGTTTATTCCTACTTCTAGATGTAGATTAATTTACCGGAATATTCTGTTCTGATTTGGTAACATTATTTTTATTTTTTAATGTTGGCCATATCTGGTTTTTTAAAGATAGTATTCAAATCCTTGATTTTCTCCTCAAGTGTTATCGCCTTTTTTTACTTAAGTTTCAAGCGATGCTTTTTGAGACTTTAGCTCCTGTATTTCCTTATTTGCCTGATTTGGATCCTCTTTCAAAGTCTTAATAATTTCAATTTGATTTACCAATTCTTGACTTATATCCACATTTAACTATTCTGTTTCGTGATCAATTCCTAAGGTAACATCCTTGGACTTGCATAGATCACACACCCATTTTTTATGACCAGTAGAAATTTTATTAAATTCATCTACTGTAAGTGTGATACATTTAAAGTGGAACCTTTTACAACAAATACCTTTACATAGCTTTACACTTTCCAACATTTCTACAACAATTTCCACAGGGATATTGATTTTTATTCACAATTTTGTTAATGAATAAATTTAATAATTACACTGTTGATCGAAAGGATGATTTATTTTGGCCAAGTTATTTGTTTTGAATGTATAAGCTACAAATATAAAATATTTAAGTATAAATATAATATAAATACTAGGTTTCAAAGGAAAACCAGTGTCTGATAACCAGTGTGTGACTGATAAGCGTTCTAGCCCTTTGACCTAGGCTGAGCGCTACAGGCTTATCAGTTAATGATACACCTCCTTTGCAATTGTGTGGTTATCGCTGGTACCTAGATTGCAGTTTATTTGTGGCGTTCATAATGTATTGCAATTACCAAAAACTCTTCTTTTATATAATTTATTAGTGTGTTAAATGTAATGGTAAGACCACTATGCTCATCAGCTAGTTGAATTATGTTTATGTTACTTGCCTGCACTGTATTACTGTAGTGAACAAGTCCTTTAACAGATTTTTAGTTTTCAAATTCTTCACTGTAAAATGTTTTTAAACACTTAATAGAAATAATCATTTTCCATAATGTTTGAAATCAAAATGTAGGTTAACTTTTGGTCAGTACCTTAAAAGAGTTTTTTTAACCTGAAAAAAGCAAATATATAATATATATCTAATAGGCCTAACACTTGTAATAATATATTTACCTAACCCGCCATGTTAAACTTCCCTATCCCAAGCGTGATGTATATAACTTCGTTACTTCTCGAGTGATGTAAAGTTGAAAAAAACTCACTCGGTGATGTAATGAAACCCATTTAAATAACATCGAGTGCTTAACTTAAAAAATGTACCTCTATGGACGTTCAACGCTAGAAATCAGCTGTGCGCTTGAATTATATTGTAATGTTTTGAAGAATTTTCCTAACCTAGCTTTTGTTTGTAAATAAACGTAACTGTTAGAAGATGAGTGAAATGGATAATGAAAAATATTGTTCGTAACCTGCTGTATATTGTCGGGTCAGGTAAAATCTTGTACGTTACACGTTACGCAAGAGCGTGTTTACATCACTTCTGTAATTATGCAACTCGCTTCCGCTCGTTGCACAACATTCACCTGCGTGATGTAAAAACGCTCTTACTACACTTAAGGTAAATAGCTATTACACTTACACTGTTGACTTACAAGACGGTTTTTAAACAGATATTAAAAACACATTTTTTTAATGTATCTGTATAAACTATTTTGGAGTAGGCCTACTATTAAGAAGCACTTTTATTATTTATCTGAACCAAAACAATTTTAAACCCACTTTAAAGTGACTTTGAAAATCATACGTTGCTATGCCTGTCAATTCCAGTTGCCAGTTATAGATCAATCCAAATCAGTGCTTGCCGGTTTGAGACACGTTTTGATCTATTCTATTTCTATTAAAATTGCATTTTTGTCTGGATCTTGACACTCTGCAACCAATATGTGGTAAAATACAGTAGTATGAGTGTTAATAAAGTTACCTGGGCCCAATATATCTTCCACTAACCACTACTAAATCACACAAATTTCCTGCCGTAGTTCAAACTCTATTGCAAACAAGCCAACTACTTCGTCAAAGTGCACAATAATACCTTAGCTGCATACCACAGCCAGCTTTTATGTTATTTAATATATCCAGTTAATACATAGTGAATAGAGAAATAATTATGTGAATGGACTTATTCTGATTTGTAATAATAACTAGATGCAGCTAACGTGAATTCAGATATAATTTATATAGATTTGGAATATTGATCACCAGATCACGACCATTTGGTAAACCCAACAAGTTACATAATTGATTACTAATTCGTTGCCCTAGCCTACACCCTTCCCCAACTCCTACTATATTATCTACTCATTCTAATAGTACTCATCCAAAATGTAGATGTCCTGCTGGCGGCACACGCAACACTACTCTCTACTATTTCGTTGTCTATTTGCGCGGGTGAATCCTTGGCTGCGCGCGCACCTAGACTAGTTGCCTCAGGTGACCTTACGCATTAGACTTGTCTCTTGTAGCGGATCGCTACAATAACTTGTGATTTGGATGCATACATTGTCTTGTACCATTGATTACTAAATACTGAAGTTGTATTAATAGTCAAAGCTGGTACTGAATAAATAACAAATGTCACTTGTGATTGTTGAGTTAATTATCAGTTGACCTTCCCATGGCACTGCTTGACCAAAAAGTTTAAACAAAATACTTTTACAGGAGGACGGTAAACCTCGGGGATTTGAGAGAGGATTGGAGCCCGACAAAATCATTGGTGCGACTGATATCTGCGGGGAACTGATGTTTCTCATGACATGGTAACCAACTACATTTACTTTATATTGTTTTAGAGTTGTGACAAAATGCAGTTGTGTAAGTGTTAATTAAGATACCTGGGCCCGATATATCTTCCACCAACCACTGCTAAATCATCCACATTTCCTGTCGCTGCTCAAACCATATTCAAATTAACCTAACAACCTCGGCAAAGTGCACAATAATACCTCAGCTGCATATCACAGCCAGGATTGATGTGATTTAATACATCTAATTAATAAATAGTGAACAGAGATTTAACTATATAAATGGACTAATCTGATTTCATGAAGGTATCTACAAGTAGCTAACGTGAATTCATATTAATTATAATTAACTGGAAATTTGACCACAAGACCACGACCGACTTTAGAATTATCATTTTAGGGTCGGTTAAGAGGGGGTCGACTGTAATTACATATTATTTCATTGCCCTAGTCTACACCCTTCCCCGACCCCTATTAAATTATCTGCTCATGCTAAGGCTACTTCAAACTGATGGAAGATGTCAACCGCAGGCCGCTAACACACACTACTGACTGACTCACTCCTCGTTGCCGCGTCTTCCGACAAATTTGGGGTCCGTGCGCCTAGTCATTGTGGCTGTCGCGAGTCGTCACGGTGACGCCACGTGTACCCTACGCACGCTCCGTTTGTATCTTGTAGCGGTGACGCTACATAGTAGTTTACGCAAATATTGCATAAAGATAGTGTTAAAGATACAAGAAGAAAATTTAACCCTTTGAGGTAGAATTTTTTTTCATTTTTCAGAGAGAAAATAGCAAGCGGCGACCTACACTCGCCATTCGACCGCAAAGGGTTAGGGTTCAAACCTTGGCAAGTGCTCTAAAAACTTCTACGAGTGTCAATAAAACTATTTATGCGAGTTGCGTACCTACACTACATTACCTATGACAGTTTTTTAATTACTAACAATCACTACTCATAACTTCTAGGAGAGGTTATGTTTTTGTTTATAACCTCTCAGTATCACTGATGCAACAAATCATTGTAACAAACACTAATTGCACTGCTCATTAACAATTTAATTGGTCTAAATTGCTGATAAGTTTTCAAAAGTCAACTAATTACAAATACAATTTTACTTCTTCTCTCTCAATCCTTGAACCTTATTGGCCCATTACCCGTGTTGATAAGTAAAATAACAATGCTGTTAAGTGAATCTTTTCAATTTTTAGAACTGAACTGAAACGGCTACTTTAAAAAACGGTTGTAGGTAAAAGACTCTTTCCTTACTGAGTTTTTTCAAACAAACTCTATAGGTAAAGAAAGTCAATAAGAGATAAAGCAAAGATCCAACTATCCAAATCACTTACACAAAGAATTTTAAAAACCCTAAACTACAGTAATAAGAACACTGTTACTAAAAAAGGTAGAAGCTGTGATTGTGGCAAAATCCTGAACATCTCCCGCGGTCGTGAGGATATTTCACCACAAAATCTTTGTAGACACGTTCTGCAGTCTTTATGGTGAAAGCTCAACGTGACCTATAAAATACCCTGAAATTACATAAATTACCGGTATCCAATTAATTGAAGTTTTGACCATTCGAATGTGGTATGTGGATTTGTCTCAAAAATTGATTTGGATAATTAAAGTTCTACTGTATTGTCATCAAGTTTACAAGGATTAACTTAAATAAATCTACCATGGTTGAATTAATGATTTTAATAATTTTAAAGTGAAGTTTAATAATTTTAGTACTACCCTTAGGGAGTGAAAATGAGTAATTGAATTATTTTTATTGCACTTTTTTTTGTGTCATGGTGAGTTTTTTGTTTTTTTCTAACTTGATTTCCTTCTATTATTTCTATTTGCATAGGCCTACTAATTTAAGCAAGCAAACATAAAATTCTTAGCTTCACCTCAAAACACACAGAGTGGTTGTGACTCAAATAAGGTTGTAAATTGAAGCCTAAAGATTTTGAGATTAGGGGTGACTAATATGCAAATTTTTTGTCATAGTAAAAGCAAACAAATCAGTGTTCCTTTCTTTACTAAATGTTAAAAGAATCAAAAAAGGTATTTGGTGTAATCCTTATTAAACCCTAAAAAAAGGTTAAATTACCTGTGTCTGCCGGTCGATCCTATTGTTTCCTTCACAGGAGATGCATTTCGGCAAATTATATCGCCATAATCAATAATAATAATAATAATAATAATATATCTTTATTGTCGTTTGGTAATATACACATTACAATAGACAAGGTCAACATGTTTTGTTACATATGTTATATAAAATATTAAATATTCTACAGTAAATGTTAAAATAAAGTTAAAAGAATCTTAAAAGGATAAAAGCATCAGTAATAATAAAAACTTTGAAATTAACAGGGAAAATACCATAACACGAACAAAGAATCATCAAGACTGCTTGGCCTCACATTTAAGCGTTGAAAAATCTACATTCTGCAAAAACTCCTCAACTGAATAAAAAGCACGACTTGTAAGCCAATCTGATAATTTTGACCTATACAAATGAATACTTTCCTGATTTCTAAAATATATTGGAAGTTTATTAAATAGTTTTATTTGCAAATATTTATAACTTTTGATAAATTTTGATAGCCTGGCTTGAGGAATATATAAATCTTTTGATTGTCTGGTGATATACCCATGGATTGAGTTGCAAGGAACAAATTTATTCAGATTCTCTTTAACGGAAACTAAATTGTAAAAAATGAAAATATTAGAGAGTGTCATGATTTTATTTTCAGCAAAAAATGCTTTGCAACTAACCCTATCCGGAATTTCAAACATAATTCTGAGAGCTTTCTTTTGCCATGTAAAAACCCGGTGAGCTCCTGAGCTATTACCCCACAGTATATTGCCATACAGCAAGTGTGAGTGAAATAAACTGTGGTAAACAATTAGAAGTGTTGGTTTAGAAACACAATTTTTAAGTTTTCTTATCAAACAACATACTCTTGACAATTTTGAAATGATATTATTGGTATGTATTTCCCAAGTGAGTTTAGAGTCTATGGATATTCCGAGTAGTTGGACAGAAACTGCATTGTCTGCTTCAAGATTACGCAAAGTAAAACAAATTTTTTCTGTTTTGTCATGATTTATTTCCAGAAAATTACTTTCAAACCATAGTTTACCCAATTCAATGGCGTTTTCTAAACTTTGGTTTGCAGAGTAAAAGTTGTCAGCTGATGAGATGAAGGTTGTGTCGTCAGCATATAAAATTGTTTTGCAAGGTATGGAGTTTGGCAAATCATTAATATAGAGGATAAACAAAACCGGACCCAGTACCGACCCTTGAGGAACCCCAGCAAGGACCTCCTTAAAATTTGACCTATCTTTTCCTAAATTAACAAATTGTACTCTTCCACAGTTACGAGAACCTTTGGTTTGCAGGGTATCAAACCTTTTTAAACCCGCTTATGCCTTCAACTTCCACTCGAGCCGGACACCGTTTATTTAGTTACTGTATCTTAATATGGAGTGCACATGTACAGGATTTAGAAAGCACATCCAGAAAGATGTTAACCTTACCTCAGTCAGTGAAACGCCTTAGCTAACTGAGCTACCAAGCCGAGTGGGTTGATTGGTACTGCGATAAACGACACTAGCGCTCGCTGGTTAGATTTGACAAACTATATATAAGCGCCAGTGGATTAGCAGTATGGCTGCCTCGCCGTGACATGTGACAAGTCGGTGCCAATAGGTTAGACATCGTAATTCTCTCATGTGATCACAGAAACCTTGTCTCCATTAGTGATGTGAAGAGTTGAGTTGGCGAGTCGAGTTGACTCAAGTCAAGACCCGAGTCGAGTCAACTCGAGTCATCTCAATTACAACTCGAGTTGGTACGAACTTGTAACGTAACGAGTCCGACTCGCAAAACGAAACCAAACTCATACGGAGAAAGCCGAACCTACACGAACTCGGAACGTTTCGAGTCAACTCGACTCGTAAAGCCGGTACCGAGTCGGCCGACTCGCAAAACTAACGAACTCGTACGGAGAATGCCGAACTCACACGAACTCGGAACGTCTCGAGTTGAGTCTGACTCGACTCGTAACTCGAGTTCACGGCAGTTGGCGAGTCGAGTCACTCGAGTCAGGAAAGTACCCGACTCGTCACATCACTAGTCTCCATCCATGATTGCAGCTTAAGCATGAATTTTTCCCTAGCAAAATCTTTGCAGACTCATTCCTGCGATCGCACTAACAATGATCGCCAAAGCTCGGCTCGAGCTTGAATTTCTCACAGGTTTTTAGGATAGACTCGGCTTGCATCAGAAATGAGACCGCTCGCATATCTCTAGTGAAAGGAAGAACATTTGTTAAAAGATTCAGAGCAAACTTACTGATATTAACTGCTGATAAACAAGTTACGTAAAAGTGTTTTCACTTACCTTGTATATTTGTCATGTTGTAGGAAAGAAACGCAAGATGCGGACTTAGTTCCAGCCAGACAGGCAAACGTGAGATGTCCGCAGATTGTCATTAGCTTCTACGAGGAGAGATTGACCTGGCACAGATCTTCTACCGATGAGTCAGTCTAGTTCATACACACATGGTACATAACCAATTCTACTGCACCAGGGACCTAACCAATCGATGCTCTCTGAATGCAGATCGGGGAAACAAGTGTTTTGTATTTTTAATGAGTGAAAAATGAAAATATTGTTACCTTATAGAAGATTGTAGGTAACCATAACTTAGGACTACACTATTATTTAGTTGTAAGAGATTTTATATACAAAGGGTTTTTTACAAGGTAATTTTTTGTTATAATTTTGCTTTTTTACTTCCTTATTTTGGTTAGTTTTGTAAATCCATCGGAGATTGTTGGGTTGTAGTATTAGTCAATTTTATATACAAAATTAATTTTACAATTTCTACATTTGATTTTGTATTTCTAAATTTAGGTTAGTTTTGCAAATCCATCGTATTCTGTTGGGTTAATGTTAAATGTTATTAAACTTTTATGTTTTGTACAATCCATCGGAGATTGTTGGGTTGTAATATAATATTAGACGATTTTGAATACAAAATTAATTTTACAAACTCTACATGTGATTTTGTATTTATAAATTTAGGTTAGTTTTGTAAATCCATCAGGATTTTGTTGGGTTGTAATGATGGACATATAGGAAAAAAAAGTTAAATGTTACCAAACCTCTGTTTTTTTAATCCATCAGAGATTGTTGGGTTGTAATATTAGACAATTTTGAATACAAAATTAATTTTAAAACATCTACATGCGATTTTCTATTTATAAATTTAGGTTAGTTTTGTAAATCCATTGGATTTTGTTGGGTTTTAATAATGGACATTTAAGAAAAAGAAAGTTACTAAACTTCTGTGTTTTGTACGCCACTTTTTATAAATTCATCAAACTGTGTTGTGCTGTAATATTATACATTTTCCAAATACAAATGTTAAATGTTACTGTCTATGATTTTTATGTCTTTCCATGGTGCCTACTCTCGGGGAAATTCGGGAAAACTTCTGGAATTTTATGTTAGCTTGAAATATCCCGGAAAACTCCAGGAATTAACCCAAACCTCTGGGAATCCGTGATTGGAAACGTCGGTGAACCGAAAAACTACTGCTGGTGTTAACAACATCGCGGGAAACGATTATCGGTGTAGCCGAAACCGCAAAATATGCTCACGGGTATTGTCGCGATCGCAGAAAACGATTATCGGTGTTGCCGAAACCACAAAATATGTTCACGGGTATTGCCGCGATCGCAAGAAATTACTATCGGTGTCGCTGTAACCGCTGTTAAACCGTAAAATGTGCTTACAGATATTGCTGCTATATCTGGTGTCGTATTACTGTTATAATACTGCTTTATTATGCTGTAAAAACCAGGGCCGGGGATAGCAGCTAGTAAGGGCTAGACCGCTCTTTTCATGTTTGGCAGAAGCCGCCGCGCCAGGTAGTGGGGGGGGGGGGGTGGGTCGGTGGCCACATGACGTCACGTTTTTGCCTCGCCCAGCACTTCTGCAATAAACCCCTTGTTTGTTTGCATTCAATGCGCTAAGTATGTAGTTCAGTTTTAATGTTAGCTGTGGTTAGAAGTGTTCTGAAGTCAAATAATAAGTGACTGACTGATAGTTTGTTTATGATTTTTATCTGTTTCCTATGGAATTATTGTTTGTTAAATCCCGGAGAATGTGGCACTGGCACAAAGATGAATCGCGATAGAATACCCGATTTGATCAATTGCAAAGACTGTAAAAGTAAAACAGAAATAAATGAAAAACTACAAACTGAAGTAGTAATCTTAAAATCGCAACTGAAATTAGCTAGACCAAAAAATAAAGTTTTAGCTAGCATAAAAAGTAAGAATATCTTGCAGCTCTAATACAAAAGTTTACTTTATTGAAATTATTTAATTCTTTTTAGAGCGTTTGTAGTCGGTTATTGTATTTTACAAAAATAAATTATTTTATTATTTTCAGTGACTGTATAGTTAATTACTTGAAGTTTTTCGATAAGCAAATTTGTTTAAAACAATCAAGTGTCACAGAACAATCATTAGTTTTAAAACTGCTTGAGTTTTTTAAATAAAAATAGGGAAATTCGCTAAATAAGTGTTAGTTTACATTTTTAAAAGTTTGGGAACTTGATAGGAAATTCTAATTAAATACTTATATCGCCACCCAAATAATTTTAAAAATAAACAATAAGAATGGTGATATTTTTTATAATGAAAACTTTAAAAAAGTCACAAACTTGAAGGCCTAATTAACTTTTTTTTCGTTTTTCCTGGGCCATGATTATGTAGTCAGGGTCTCTAACTCTCATTTCCCTTGCAATTCTGCTGTTCGCAATTTCAGGCAACATGCAGTCCATCTAAAATCTTTTCAGTTTAGGAAGCATTACTTGACGCTATAACTCACTATCAATATAGATCCTTTCGATAAACAATTGTTTAATCGCCGTATAATCAGAAATCAGAAACGTTTTATTGTCCTTCAACATTTACAACAAATGCAATAGACAAAAGTCAAGAAAATTCAGCTATTACATCAGATTGTATCATTCAACTATACACAATCAGATCACACCACTTCCTCCCAGTCACATTTAGTTGTCCTTGAATTTGAAAAAAAAATTGTGCCTTTTCTTAAGACTTATTTCTTCCTCCTTGTTTATTTCGAAGCAGAGGGTTTTCTTTTCTTTTACACATTCTAACAAAGGAGCCTTAACTGAAGGTAAACATTTGCCTCAACAAGCCCTTCGTCGCCAACTAAACCGTCCGGCGAAGCGCCCAAAAATGGATATGCGTTATCAATAAATAGGCCGCATTCTTTGATAACAACATTGTGCTCTTCCTCGTATTTAGATGGCTTCTTTTTCATGGAGTCTTCCAAAAACAACTGCTGCACTGTTCAGGTTTTTGGGATATAGCAGGTTCTTGACCAGGTTGTGGCACGGTGTATGGTCTTTCCGTTTTACGATTTGCCCAAATTTCGAAGCAGTTAACCTATTTTTTTTCCTCCCAAAGGCTGTTGTTGTGTTGTCCAATTGTATCCTGTTCAAGTTTTTCACTTTCTCTAGCATCCAGCTCCAGCAGTTCTAGAACACTTTTCTTTTTTATCTCTAGTTCCTCTTCAGACACATCTGGCTCCGTAGCACTCGGTCCGTAGTTCTTATCATAGGAGTTTATTTGGGATGATTTCCTTTTTTTTGGCTTCTCAACTGAGTACCTGAAACAGATTAAATATACAGGGTGATCAACTCAAGGAGGCCACCATTGGGATATCGAAAACGGTAAGAATTAGAGAAAACTTTGAATGGGGCACATTCCTTTATTTTTTGTGGCAGTTAAAAATATGATTTTATTTTTTTGAAATTCAGCCGCCATTTTCCAAAATGGCGGCCAACTTTGAAATTTCTTATGGAACACCCTATATTTTATCATGTTTTCGGATAGAACAGGCAATTTAAAAACTTTTTTATTCTTGACATTTTTTCGATAAACCCACTCGTTTAGGAGTTACAGCCTATGGAAAAATGACTTCCGGTGTACATTTTACATCATGTAGCTCCTAAACAAGTAGGTTTATAGCGAAAATGCGACGAGTAAATAAGTCAAAGAAGTCTTAATATTGAATCCACATTCCATAAAGACCATAAAATACACAGTTTTCCACTTTTCAAGTTTGCCGCCATTTTGGAAAATGGCCGCCATTTTAAAATAATAGAATTAATAGTGATAACGAATTTTATGATCTTTTTGGAATGTGGATGCAGTTTTAAGACTTTTTTGACTATTTACTTTTCGAATTTTCGCTATAAACCTACTTGTTTAGGAGCTACATGATGTAAAATGTACACCGGAAGTCATTTTTCCATAGGCTGTAACTCCTAAACGAGTAGGTTTATCGAAAAAATGTCAAGAATAAAAAAGTTTTTAAATTGCCTGTTCTATCCGAAAACATGATAAAATATAGGGTGTTCCATAAGAAATTTCAAAGTTAGCCGCCATTTTGGAAAATGGCGGCTGAATTTCAAAAAAATAAAATCATATTTTTAACTGCCACAAAAAATAAAGGAATGTGCCCCATTCAAAGTTTTCTCTAATTCTTACCGTTTTCGATATCCCAATGGTGGCCTCCTTGAGTTGATCACCCTGTATATTTATAGCTACAGCATTATTAGACGTATACGTTAGTTTTTTTTTTTATTATTAATTACAACAAAGTTATATTGTCATAAACAGGGTACTATACAATACAAATACTGGTTTTGATTGCAATAAAATTTACTAGATAAAATTTTGATGGTTTAACAAAGTATAATGTATTTTAAAAATGCTTTTGAATTGGTTATTTTTGTATTCAATTGAAAATTTATGTTGCACAATGAATTGTTGAAAAAATATATATTGCATGTTGAAAGTATTAAAAGATAATCGAACACATGAGATACATTTTACGTATATATTTTGAACATACCTTAATGCCCTTCTGGCACGTTTGCGTTCTCTAGCTAGGATCTTCCTCTTGAAATTCCCACCCGGGCTTCGGCCTTGAAACCTCTTCCAGGGACTGAGATGCCAACTGGGAGCATGGCTAAGGCCAGCGGCAAAACACCTGCGCTTGTATGAGCCTCTTGCGGTGAAATTAATCCTTTTGCCTCTGATAAACTTAGAGACCAACCCCATATATCGTTCCGCAGCATTGGTCGTTTCATTCAGTACTAAGGTCTCTGCTTTTCTTTCAAGTTTGTCGACCAGCTTCCTTATTTCTGTAATAAAGTCAGGGTCTAGTTTATTTAATATGTTTTCCTCTTCATCTGACTGATTAACACAATATGTTTGTCTGCAGACACTATGATCTCCAAACACATGGTTCGGAGCATTCTTCAAATCTTGCCTTAATAAGGCGATGTCCTGCAACTTCTCGTGGCGCCAGAATGTTTGATTGCCGCTCTGATCCCTTTCACTAATCGCTCCAGCCGAGTGATCGTTTTCCCTTCAGGAACCGAGGTTAACATCTTCCGCGATTCCAGAGGGAATTTCGTGTTTGTACATAATTTATGAAGACCGTCACTTAGACATCTTGTCATGTGATTGGCGCATTCCACTTTCGTTAGAAATCGCCCATTTCTACACTTCTCTTGTATCCTGGCAAATACACTGCTATCGCCATCTCCGATATAATGTTTATACACCAAACCATATTCAGCCTCACTTTGTCTAAATGCCTCTACAATTACAATTCTCTCCATGCCTGTTGATGGATCATTGTAATTTAAAAACCATTCATGAGGCGGCGTTTCTTTTTTAGCAGTTTTTGCTTTGGTGCATACATAACAAAATTTGTTTCTACCCCCTAAAAACAATATTTTCTTTGTTTCAGCACCAATAACAATTCCCTGAAATATAAGGAAAATATTAGTTAACATTATACAAAGCAATAAACCCAAAACTCAGAATACAACAAAGTACTAAAATGAAAATATAACAAGTATAATACAACCTTAGCAGCAGATTCTAAATTTAAATGAAATGCTTAGAAAATAAATTAGACGGAAGTTTGTAAAATGTAATTGTAAATTTTTTAATTTACAGTTACAAATTATGCAGTACTCTAGTTTTGGTTGTTATTTCAGCTTCAATTTTAAGAAAATTACAGTGAGTATATACTTCAAATCACTAATGTTTTTGGTTCTGGAAGTAACGTTCATCTCTGTGGTAAATTTCAAATTACAGTAGAAGTTTGACAACAGATTAAAATATCACTGTTAATATAACGTTTATACGTTCACTGGTTTTTGGCCTTTATCCAATTTATTTTTAGTTTGAATGGTTACCGACCGTTAAAGTGGCCCAAAATGGGTTTGAAAGTTTATGACAAACTTATAGGTGATAGAGATAGGAAATTGTTTATTTTTGTTTTGCAGTTTTAACATACCACGCCTGATGAAGAGTTCA